GCCAGGCGCCACACCTCCTCCGCGTCTGCGACCCATGCCTGGCCCATGACGTCGTCCATCTTGTCGAACTCGGCTGACGCGCCAAGGTCGTATTCCTTGGTCGACGTTCCAGCAAGATTGTCGCTGCCACCAGCTGCTGTGGCAGGCGCAGGCATTGCTGGGAAACCTTTGCACGGTTGATGAGATGCAGTGTATCAGATGTGCAAGTGATATGGGAGGAGCGCGCGTGCCTAGTTGGGATTTGAGTGCGTGCGCGGAAAAGAGGTGGGAGGTGAATGCAAGAAATAATTAGGTCAAACTGTCGAAATATATGCGTGTAGCAGTCCGAAAAACTACATTCGATATCATTCTTGTCCCGAAAACAGGGAGTAGGGCGTGAACCTGAAGCCCGCCCCTTCATCCGATACACGGGCCCATGGCTGTAAGGCGGAACAACCACAGTAGCAAGCTCCGCGGGATGGAAGCGATGCCCACTGTTATCCCCGCAAATTAAACATCGAGATGTTCACGATCATAGATAACTTGTCCCTCCTTTGCGCCCATTTCCTGTCTGGCTGGCAGTGTTGATGACCAAAGCGGGGGCGGCGGCGTCAGGGCGATGTAACGGCTCGGATTGATGAAAGCTTAGGGGGGAGGTCAACTATGTCGAAATAGAGGCCTTTGACGGGCTTAGGGGGCCAAGGCCACCGTCTGGTTGCGGTTCACTCGGATTTTTTGCTGGAAATGGACACGGGTGCGCTATGGTCGCGACTGCCTGATCTGGGACTACTTTTGTAAGGTGGAGTCTGTAGGCGCACCGACGTGGTCCCCGCCCACTGCCTGCCTGCTCGACCTGTGCGGATGTGGAGGGCAAATCACTGACGCATCTTGAAACTCGAAAGTTTGCGGGAAATTGTGCATGCGCAGTGTGTGCGTGGTGTTCTCGTTTAAGGACAAAGAGAATCCTTTATGGATTCGCGAAAGGAGTACTCATATTCCCTTTTCTCTCCGCTTGTTTCACAAGCCAACACAATAGCACCTTATCAACCCTTGTCTTCTTGACAAAGTAAATGGCTTCCGCCCCACACAAAACCTTTGCCTTAGCCGCGCATGACGAAGGAGGCGTTCTCTCTAAGTTTGAGATCGAGCGGAGGGCCCTCGGCCCTAAAGATGTCAAGATTGCCATAAAATTTTGTGGGATGTGCCACAGTGATCTGCATCAAATCAAGGGAGAATGGGGCAACAGCAAATATCCCATGGTTCCGGGACACGAGATTGTCGGCCTCGTGGAGGCTGTCGGGACGGAAGCGCAAAAATTCAAAGTCGGCGCCAAAGTCGGCGTGGGCGTCTTTGTCGACTCCTGTCGGGCCTGTGCGAACTGCAGACAGGGAGACGAGCAGTACTGCACAGGGAACGGAATTCTCAACTCAGCCGTGTTCACGTACAACCACACACTTCCCGATGGCACGCTGGTGCAGGGAGGTTACGCGCAAACCGTCGTTGTGGACGAGGCCTACGTGTTGCGCATCCCAGACAACCTGGACCTGGCGGCGGCGGCGCCCTTGCTGTGTGCAGGGATCACCGTGTGGTCTCCCTTCTTGCACTTCGGGGTTCGAAGCCACCATACGATAGGGGTGGTGGGGCTTGGTGGGCTGGGGCACATGGCCGTCAAGTTCGCGGTGGCGATGGGATGTGACGTGGCTGTGATCTCCCACAGCCCTGGAAAAGAGGCTCTTGCCAAAAAGCTGGGCGCGCACCATTTCATCGTGATATCGGACGAGGCAGCCAAATCCGCCCACGCCCGGACGATGGACTACATCGTCGACACGGTCAGCGCCCCGCACAAGCTGCAGGACTATCTGCCCTTTTTGAAGACGGGCGCGACCCTCTGCCTGGTAGGCATCCCCACCAAGCCCTACGAGCTCCACGCCGGCGACGTCCTCATGCAGCGCCTCAAGGTGGCCGGCTCCGTGATTGGGGGGATCCGGGAGACCCAGGAGATGTTGGATTTCTGCGGGAGGCATGGGATCACGAGCATGATCGAGACGGTGCCGGCGGCCTACGCGAACAAGGCGATGACTCGGCTCGAGCAGAACGACGTCAAGTTCCGCTTCGTCTGTGAGTACTGGTTTGTGGTGGGGAACAGAGGGGACTGGTCGTAGGCATGACTGTAGAGGGCTTAGAGGGCTTACCAAAACGTTTGCGACACCGTTTTCATTGCCGAGCATCTCATTTCGCTCGATCCGGCCCTTTCTCTGACGTCACATCTACAGTGGACATCGGCGGCACGCTTTCCGCAAGCTCCCCCGAGCTGGAGGGGGCCTAATCTGGGCAATCATAGGACGTGAAATTGGACGTGGTGGGCCGTCCTCCTGACCGCATCCACGTGCGTAAAAATGACGAGTCTAAGAAATGTCGAGTGCGAGTGAGAAGCTAGACGTAGGTGGGGGCGAGGTGGACCGTGCTGGCGTTGGTCAGAGGGAGCGTGTGGGGAAAGAAAGGGAAGAGGCACAGAAAACGGTGGGTCCGAGACCGGAAGGCAACACTAGAAGTTCCCCGCGCATATTAGCGACGTCGAAGTTTTTCCGTGTTGTATTTTTTGGTTTCGTTCTTCTTGCCTGCACATCATCACGCCCCTGCTCCCGCCAATGCTGGCCTCACCAAACTACTTGGTGGGGGGCCATCACTCCCGCTTTCCCTACTGGCCGCCTTCAATTCGATGCTCTTGGCCGTGTCGACAAAGAGACGCACCGCGTCCTCGGGCGTCGTCTTGATGACCCCGTGGCCCAGGTTCAAAATGTGGCCCCCTCCTCCCGCCTTCCGCACGCACTCGTCCACCGCGGCCACGATACCCTCCGGGGGGCCTAACAGCACGGTCGGGTCTACATTTCCAGAGACGGGCTTGGCACCCAGCGTCCTGCGCGCTGTGGCCATGTCCACTTGCCAGTCAAGGCATATCATGTCCGCCGCCATGTCACCCTGCAGCTCCAAGAAGCTGCTGGCCCCGTGACCGAAGAAGATGATGGGTACCTCCGGGTGTCTTTCTTTGACGATGGTGGTGACCTTGTCAGCATACGGCTTGCTGTATTTCAGGAACTGCGAGGGGGACAGCTGGTGTGCCCAAGACTCGAACACTTGGATCACTTCAGCGCCGTTCTCGATCTGGTAGCAAGCGTAGTCTCCGATGGCCGTGGCAAGCTTGTCCAAGTAGACGTGCAAGAGTGTGGGGTCGTACATCATCATTCGCTTCGTCTTCAGACAGTTTTTGCTGGAGCCACCTTCAATGGTGTACGCCGCTAAAGTGAAAGGTGCGCCTACGAAACCCAGCAACGTGGCTCTTCCCGCCACCTCGTTTTTCAACGTGCGCAGCGTCTCCCCTACAAAGGGTAAACTGCTAGCCGGATCATCCAGCCGCCGGACGTTGTCCACGTCCATAGCTGTTGCGATCCGATTAGGAATGACAGGACCTTTGCCTGAGATCACGTCAAACTCTATACCCAACGCTGGCAAGGGAGTGAGGATGTCTGAGAACATGATGACCCCGTCAACCCCGAAGGCCTCCAAAGGTTGCATCGACAACTCGATTGCCATAGACGGGGTCTCAGAACGCTGTCTGAAAGGATATTTTTCGCTGTATTCTCGAAAAGCAGCCATATATCGTCCAGCCTGACGCATTAGCCACACGGGGGTGCGATGGGTCTGCTCCCCTCGAGCCACGCGAAGCAGGATGTCGTGATCAGGATTGACGATTTTGGAGCCGTCAATGGACCCGGCAAAGAGCGGAGATAAGGTCGACCAGCGGGATTCCTGCACCACAAAGGATTGTATTTTGTCGTGGCCAACGGCACTTCGCAATATAGGAGAGAATGCAAGGGCTGCTTGCAGACCGTTGCTCAGGAAAAGCACGGACACGGCGAGCAGGAGGGACCCTCCCTGCGGCCGTGGTGAAATGCTCATTTCTAGTCGACCTGCCTTCGAATGAGAGAGGTATTAATGATGCGAATAAGACCATCATAGGATGTTTGCCTTGCTTCAGGTCGCATCGCATAGGCCGCGTAGGAAAACAACGCTCCTGGTAATTTCCGATCTCTATCTTCAACGCACGTATCTTCCGTGCTGCAGTGGGGAGGTTAAACACCAACATACCATTTCCAAAACTATTTATGATTCGACCCGTGACAGTGAATGATGCTTCTTCATATCCCTTGTTTGAAACATACCGCCAGAACTATATTACTTACGTCCCGGGTACACTCAAGCCGAATCAACATCGGTCTCTCTAGCGTGGAGCATTTTTCTTCTGGCTCCTGCAGCAGGCAACCTCTCCAGACATTTAACAAATGTCCGAATCAGCCTGTTGGATGTGAACAACCTGACTGCATTAAGTATCACAGAAAAAAAATGTTTGTATTATGTGATGAGCATCATACATTGCACGAAAAACGCTTTCGAAGTGATTTTTCTTTAGAAGAAAAAAAGTTACTTTGAACAATCCATTTTAAAGACTCGAGTAGTATAGAAAGGCCCCAAATTTTAAAGTTGTTCACTGTTTTGAGACTTTCAATTTAACCCTAATTCAGGCTATTTCCATCCCTCACAAAGTGTCCGTTTGGCTATTAAACGCATGCAATTTAAACAATCAGAATGAATTCATTCCTCCTTTTTCCCCCTACTTCGACTCAGGCCATTTCCATCCCTCACAAAGCGTCCGTTTGGCAATAAAACTCATGCAATTTCAACAATCAGAATGAATTCATCCCTCCTTTTTCCCCCTACTTCGACTCAGGCCATTTCCATCCCTCACAAAGCGTCCGTTTGGCAATAAAACTCATGCAATTTCAACAATCAGAATGAATTCTACTTCGCTAACAAGCACGCTCGTAAGGCTTTTATAGTTTCGGGCGTGGTTCTGCAGCATCCCCCTAGAACGCGGGCGCCCGCCACCACCCATTTACGAGCCAAGTCGGCAAAATCTCGCGAAGAGGGGCACACTCCCGTCCCCGGAAGCCACCTCTTGTCTTGCCACACCTCTCCTGAATTCGGGTATGCGATAAGGATGCGTTCACTTCCTTTCGCTGCGCTAATGACCTCTTTCGCGGCGGAAATGGTCAGTAAGCCTTCCCGTAGCACCGTAAGGGCCCCCTCCACATGCTGAGGCGCGCAGCAATTCACTCCTAACCCCACTACTTGGGGCCGTGAACCCGTATCCAGCGCCTTCACGAGCTGCACACAGCTTACTAGGGACTCGCCGCTGTTGAGATGGGTGGCGTCTTGGCAAGCCAGGGTAATCCAGCAGGGAGTGCGTCTCGAGGTGGGAGCTGAGCCTTCCTGTTCCCGTCCTTCCCGAAGGAGTTGCAGGATCGCGACCACCTCAGCTTGGCAAGGGATCGTCTCGAAGGCCAGTAAGTCAGCGTCTGTTTCACCCAGGATTGCAAGGCGGGGACGGTGCCAGTCCATCAGCTGCAGGAGGGGACATGAGGACGCATACAGGGTGAGCTGCAGATTGGGGCATGAGGACGCATACAGGGTGAGCTGCAGATTGGGGCATGAGGACGCATACAAGGTGAGCTGCAGAAGGGGACATGAGGACGCATACA